GAAAAGAATGGAGCACGAGAAATTAGCAGGAGGGGGGCAAGAAGCAGAAAACAAGAGGTAGAACCAGACGGGCAGATCGGGTGGGCACACCCATAGCGGGCAGGTCCGGAAGGCGGGCCCAGGCGACCAGGTCGAGCACGCGGGTTACTGAAGCGTGAGTCCTGCATGAATCGCAGGGAGTCTCGAGCGATAGCGCGAGTCCCAAGAAAACCGTGAGAGAAACCAGAGAGAGAGCTTGATCCCTGAGCGCCGAAGGCGCATCGTCTGAATAAATTGCGAGGAAGTGCCAAGCGAGAGCGCGATGCGTACATGAACTGTGAGGAAGTCCCGCGCGAGAGCGCAATTGGGGAATAAATTGTGAAGAAATATCAAGCGGGAGCCGATGTTGTTGTAAACCGGGGCCAGGGGCCTAGTTTAAGCCCCGTGACTTTCCCTGATAAGAAACAATGTGCGAGCCCCGGGGGAAGCACTTCAATTGAAAATACACAATGGTCACTGGAGGGGGGATCAACAATAATTATGCTTCAGTAGTGAGAGCTCAACAACAACAGCAACATCAACAACAGCAACAACAACAACAATCAGTTTAAGACTGTTCGCCCTTACTGGCACGCGTGTCTTGCATTCCGTATACCCCAACCTTCGATGCCCGCCCGCTTCGTCTTCGATTACACCCCCATTCGGGGGGGGGAACCTCTTCCTTGTCGGCCAGTGACTTAAGTGCAAGGAAGCCCCGAACGAGAGCGCCGTTCCTGAGTTCGGGGGCTTCTCTGGCCAGGGGCTTTCGAAATACCGATGGAAAAATATCGAACGGGAGCCCTTGTCGCCGTGTTCGCGCCTCCACCAACTTTCCTGAATTGCGACAGAGTTCGGGAGACTTTTGGCCAGGGGCTTCGGAGTAAATCGTGAGGAAGTATCGAGCAGGAGCCCTTGTCGTCGTGGCTGGGCCTCCGCCAATTTGACTGATTTGCAAAGACTCTCGAGCGAGAGCGCCGTTCCTGAGTTCGGGGGCCTCTCTGGTCAGGGTGTTTCGGGGTAAGTTGTGAGGAAGTATCGAGCGGGAGCCGTTGTCGTCGTAGCTGGGCACCCAAGGGCCCGCATTTAGGCTGAAGCAAACGCTCGAGCGGGAGCCTCGTTTTCAGAGAAAATGAAGCCAGCGTCGAGGCGAGAGCGCGCGGAACCGCTTCAGGAGATCAACTGTAGAAGTGAAGATTCAACAACAACAACAACAACAACAACAACAACAACAACAACAATCAGTTTGAGACTGTTTGCCCTTATCTACTCGAGTGTCCAATAACGCCTACTTCCCAAACCCTCGATACCCGCCATCTTCGTCTTCGATAGAACCCCTTTTGGGGGGTACACTTTTCTTCCCTGCAGGCTGGACCCTGGCAAGCGGCGGGGCGGCCGCGGACCGTCGGCCTGGCCAGCGGCAGCGCTGATCGGCGGGGCGGCCGCGGACCGTCGACCCGACCCCAACAGGGACGGACAGGGGACTCCTCCCTCCTCCTTCCACTCTCCGTCCTATGAAGGACCCCGCTTTCGCAGGCCGAAAGGTTTTCCTCTTGAACCCAGAATGTCGGAAACGACGCGCCGTTACGCAATTCGAAATCCCGCTTACGCAGGCCGAAAGATTTTCTTCTTGAGCCCCAAATGTCGGAAACGACGTGTTGTTAAGGTAAGCGGATACATGTAGCGCTCTCTTCGGCTTCGTGCCTCCTCCCTCATCCTTCCCCTCTCCGTCCTGGGAGGACCCCGCTTACGCGGGTCGAAAGATTCTCCTCTTGAACCCAGAATGTCGGAAACGACTCGCCGCTCAGGTGAGCGGATACGCGTCGCGCTCTCTTCGGCTTCGTGCCTCCTCCCTCCTCCTTCCCCTCTTCGTCCTAGGAAGACCCTCTTTCCCCATTAAAGTCATAGCTCTGGTCAGCATATCCACAATTTCGTGGATCGCATGATGCTTCACGTGCGGTGCCCCACGGATCCCATTCCCCCTGGGTCTGGGATGTTACTTGTTATTGTATATCTATTCCCGGAACATAAATGAATCCATTGGTTCTTCACACACGCGAAATTGGATCCGCGCAAGACACGAATAGGATCCACGACACTGTCGCACACCCGAAAAAGAGGATCCAATTGGATACATCGGTGTTCTCACATTTTCAGCCCAAGAGGAAACAACTTTCGCCCTGGGGATGTAGTATAAGTATGTTAGGATGACGCCGATAGTAAGCTCGAGGCAGACGCTCCAAACTCTCTCCCCTTGTCTGCCGTCCAACAATGTGTGCGAATGATCTGGTTACCTGCCCCCTCGTGGACTTAACTACACCAAGAGAGGGCCATCACATCTTCGTGGATGCCACCGTAGCTTACTTCGGACCGAACAAGCAAGTAAATGTGCAGGGGGGCTGTCAAGCACTCACAGGCGGCCCTGAGGTATAGCACCTTTCGCTCAGATTTGGGCTTCAGCGTGATGAAGCCGTGGAGGTGGAAAACTGGATGTAACAGCAGGGCAATCATAATCATCATCTTCAGTACCTTTATCATCATCATCACCACCACCATGATCGTCATCATCATCATCATCATCATCATCATCATCATCAGCAGCATGATCATCATAAATCATTCCCTTCGTCATCATCATGATCATAATCGTCATCGTCATCATCATCGTCATCATGATCATCGTCATCGTCATCGTCATCAGCGTCATCATCACCAGCATCATCATCACCATCATAATCAATATGAATGTTGATCGTCATATTAATCATCGTCGTCATCATCAGCATAAGCATCAGCATCAGCATCATCATCATCAGCATCATCGTCATCATCACAATCAGCAGCAGCATCAGCAACATCCTCATCAGCAGCAGCATCAGCATCATAATCACCATTTTCGTAATCAACATCATCACCATCACCATGAATTGGATCAGCATGATCCAATTCATCACCATCCTAATCAATATGAACATCACTAGCGCTGCCAGTGTAATCGTAATCATCGTCGTCGTCGAAGTCAACGACATCACCATCTGCATCATTATCATGTTGATCATCATTGGCGTCGTCATCGTCGTCATCACCATCAGAATCATCATCATCATCGTCATCACCATCAGCAGCATACACATCATCATCGTCATCAGTATCGCCACCATCAGCAGCATCCTCGTCCCCATTATCATCATCATCATCATAATCAGCATCATCATCGTCATCGTAATCAGCATCATCATCATCATTATCATCATCGCCATCATCATCGCCGTCATCATCTCAAAAATCATTTTGATCGTCATATTCATCATCATCGTCATCATCATCAGCACCATCAGCATGAGCATCTTCATCATCAGCAGCAGCATCGTCATCATCATCATCATCATCATCATCATCATTGTCAAGACCATCATTATCAGCAGCATCGTCCTCATCGTCACCATCATCATCATCATCATCACCATCATCATTGCCATCACCATCATCATCATGATTATCCACACCTTCATCATCACCATCATCACCATCAGCATCAGCATCAGCAACAGCAATAGCAACAGCATCATAATCTGGATCTTCAGCAGCAGCGCAGCATCATCAGCATCAGCATCATCATCATCATCATCATCATCAGCATCATCATCATCATTATCATCGTAATCATCACCATCACAGTCATCATGATCACCACCATCATCATCGTCGTCGCCATCACCAACATCATCGGCATCATCGTCATCGTCGTCATCATCATCAGCAGCAACGTCCCCGATCCGCTCCTACACTCCCTCATCCCCCCTCGTGAGGAACCGCTCTCCTCTCAACAGTGCCCCGAGCGGGGCGACACCATTTCCGGAGAGAGGCGTGGGAGCGCGCGGCTCGGGAGGGGAGCCCGCGCCTGGAAGGCCCAGTCACAATCTTGCCCGGAAGGCGGATGAGCGAGAGCTGGCGGTCGTCGTCGTCCTCGCGAACCGGGGCGGGACGGGCGACGGCAGGGGGCCCCTGAAACCATCGTCATCGTCGTCGTCGCCATCGTCATTGTCATCGCCATCACGGTCATCGTCATCATCATCATCATCATCATCATCATCATCATCATCATCATCAGCAGCATCAGCATCACGGCCGCCGTCAGCAGCCCAGTCAGCCGAAACGAAATGTCCGAGATCATGCCCTCGAGATTCGCTACTAGCGAATCCGACGCATACATATATAGAAACTATGTTTGCACAAGTGCAGTGCGCTAACGGGCATCGCTTCGCGGATGAGAGGTGACTCACCGATTTCGGGTGGTACTTAACCCATGTTTGGGGATATTTCAGCCACTGGCCGCGGGGAAGGCTAGGCAACTACCCAGGAAAACATGGAAATTCACGCTTCTTGAGAAGGCCCGCCCGTTTCCACTTCCCCCCCGGGATCGCCCCCAAATATCCGGACGGTCCCGTCAAAACGCGTCGGCAAGCCCGACCGAGCTCCTGCGAACTCGACTTCTACGCCGCCGCTTGCTCGCGGCCCGACGTGTGGACCTCCGGTGGCTGGGGCCGGCTGGCGCCGCGGACAGGACGAGCGCGCGCGGGGAGGGGGGGGGGGGCATTGCTGCTGTTCCGCGGCGAGCCCAGGGGGCAGTGAGAGTCGGGAGCGGCCAGGAGGGGGGTGTCCAACAGGGGGGGTGCAAATCATGACCCGCGGCACGTGCGCGGCCCAGCGGGGGGGCCAGTGACGTAATGAAGAAGAGGCACCATGAAATCTGGGGAATTATCATGGCCCCCGCCATGATATCCACCCCCCCCTAGTCATCACCCCCCTCTTTTCCGCCCCCGAGAGAGGGGGCGGGCTTCCTTTTGTTTTCTTTTCTGCGCAGCTGAAGGCCGCGCGCGGCCAGCCGGGCGTGACAATTGAGGGCCAAAGAGCATGCCAGAGATTCGGGGTCCTGGTCAAGAGCCAGGGCCTCAGCGACGAAGGAAGATACGACGCCGACCTCGTCCAAGAACACACCAGCCACTGAGACTATTTGGGAAGTGTCTCCCCAGACAACCTCGAGGATCCAAGCTGCCGCGGAGCACGCATCGCCCTGGCGACCCCCGTCGCACTGGACAACAAATTCGCGTCTCGAATCTGACAGCTGGCAGCGAATGGAAATGACTGCTGACAAGAACGCTTTTGGCCCATGTGAAGTTCGCTAGGTGGTCTGCTTTAACGTTGAGCTCACGGCGCCTCCACGCGACAGGGTCCGCATGGCACTGATGGGGCAGGGCGCCCCTGTCGAATAGCGTTGCCAAGCGAGCGCGACTGCGGTTGAAAATGCGGCAATGGTCGGAGCCGTCCTGGAGGGCGTTTCCCGTGATGACCTCCACGAAAGGTTGAAAACCACAGATGATGATGAAACGGCCTGCGCGGGCCTCCGATTTGATCTGCCCGTCGTGGAAATTAGGACTGCATATGCTTTTTGCAGGCTTTCCCATGTAGATCTTTGAACGCACCCCACCACTGGGAGACCACGACCTGAAATCCCCGAAGTGCCGCATCCACTCTTTCCAGGGAACGGCAACCGTCGCGGATACTCCTCCAATCGACGCCGAAAAAATGACAAAATACAGCTTCCCAGTGAAAGAAATTGCCTCCGGTTGCGTGGACCATATTCAATCGCAACCGTTTCTTGTATTCTCTGGCACGCTTATACTGCTCCCACCAGTCCCGCGCGCGGAAAGTCCGGCTCTTCCTCGCAAAAGCTCAGCCCCGGCATTGCTTGAGAGCGAAAACTCGCGCCATGCGTTTTAAAAGACAGACTTGAGCACGTGCACATATGGAGGGCACGTGGTGCGTATCTGCATCCGCTTCCGCGTCAAAGCCGACGTGCGGGCATTAGCGGTCATTGCGTTTTCGCATGATTTGCGGCGGAGCTGGAGCACTTTCCAGACGCGCCGCCACTCCCAGTTCTGGAGTCTCCAAGGAAGCTGCTCGTTGATGCGCCACGCGCAAAAAACCGGCAAAGACACCAGCAAATGGCCCAACTGACCAGGCGCGCAATTACTTTTCACCGCGCCACCAGCGCGAGATGCTTGACGCGCGCCCAGTGGCGCGCCTCTGCCCTGCGCAAACGGCGTTCCAGTGCCTGCGTTTCTGCTCTGGCGGCACTGAAAGCCCCGAACAGGACCAAGCGAGGAACCAACGAGAACGCGAGCGGCGTTTCAGCCCCGAGCTCTGCGACGACAGGCGGCTGCACGCGCTCGTCTGTGAGAGCCCCACATGTCATGCACTCCAGAGAATCTGGCCCCCAGCGGAAATCGACATCAGCGAGGACCGTCGTCAGCTCCTGCGCCACGGTTTGGAATTGTTACGCGCTGCTCGCAAATGAATGAAGCTGTCAGCCCAGATGAGATGCGTCAGCGGCGGACCCATCGCATCGAAAAGTATTCCGAAGTTACGGCTGCGCCAGCTGTGGGCCAAAGATTCTAGCGCGAACTCGGCCACGCAGTTGAAGAGTTCCGGCGTCTCCACGCCGCCCTGCTTCCCGCCGACCTCCGCGGGCAATGCGTCGCTAGCCGGCATCCCCGACAGAACCGCGGAGCAGAACAAGTCCGACATCTCCCGCAGCATTGCCCGAATAAGGTTCGGGTGAAGACCTTTATCCAACAAGATTCGCGACGCGTGTCCGCGGCGAATCGAACCGAAAGCTGCCGTGACACGAAATGCCCCAACAACCGACGGCATACTTCACTTCCTGGCAACAATGACGGATCGGGTCACGATCGCAATAATATCGCCACATGCGACACCAGCTTTGAAACCAAAAATCGCCACCGAGCTGGGCGGCACAGACTGCCGAAAGAGCGATTGTATGCTACGGGTATACCGTCCAAAATAATCCTATGCACGCAGGTATCGAAACTCATCGAAAACCAAAGGCACTGCCTTTTTTGAGAAGGCTGGTGCACTGGATTTGTTTCCAAGTGGAAAGGTCCCCAAGTGGGAAGGTCCCCAGAATCGCTGTCCAAGTACCGCCGCCGACGCAATATCCACTCTTTGCGAACGAGGTACAACGGCAATCTCTTGCAAATCTCCGGCGGCGCCCCGTCGAGCTCCGCCGCTGCGCCAGATTTCATGCCAGCCCGACCCGCGATAACGTTGAAGAAATCAAAAAAAGGTGGAGCTCTGCCATCCAGCTTGGCATTCCGGCTAATGCAAGCCAGCGTATCCAAACGCTGAGTTTGCGTTTCGTGGTCGTTTTTGTTCGTCGCCGAACGGTTGAGCACCAAAAACTGTCACTCCATCGCGCCAGACTTCTCTGTCTGTGTGGAGCAAGCCATTGTGCATCTCTGTCAGGCCGCAGTCGCGAAATCGTAGACACTGCAAGCGAAAGCTTTCCAGAGGCCTCCAGCCTTTCAGCCCCTTGCCAGACCGACGACCGCAGCGCAGTATAGCCGAGAGCCGATAGGTGCCAATCACAGGTCGGTGGTCCGATTTATGGAGTAGGTTGTTTCTTTCTGAACTGCTGCACCCTTGCGGATCCAACCAGGCCCGGACAGGTGCACAAAAAATCGATGTGAGACCTGAACGCGGGTTGGCGTCTGACGCCTGCGATTCCAGGGAGGAGAAAGTGAAGGGGCCCTGGGACACACAAATAAATGCACACAAATAAAGATAGCCCCCATATTTTCCTATATTTTCTGGGTTTTTGTCTTCCCCCCCATTTCCCAGATTTTCCCTTATTTGCTTTGGGAATCGACGAATCATTGTGTCTGTGTGTTTTTTCCCCTCCCGAGTAGGGATCACGCCGTCGGCCCCTTCCAACCACAAGTACCCGGTGAAGGCGTTGAACCCGCCCGCACGCCGAGAGCGGCCAGCCCAGACGGCGTAAAATACGAACAGGACTGCAGGGGGCAGGCTTCATATTCCTGCCGCAGGCCCTCGGCCCGGCCGGCGCGTCCAGGTACTCCAGATTTCGTAATGAAAGGGAGGGGGTCTGGACCCTACAAGACAAGCCATTTCAGACCTCCCCCGTGGGAGAACCCTCCAAAACATCGTCCCCAGACCCCCCAGGCCCTCCAAGATAGCCTGGAAGAGACCCCTCCCCGAAATGAGACCCCCCTCCCTTGATTACGAAATCTGGAGTACAGTCGGGGTGTATTGAAAGAGGACACGCGAGAGGACACGAGACTCCTCTGATGGCCACAGTGCTGGTGGAACGTAGGGGGCATGGGTCGCGGGAAACAGGACACGAGGGTACCCTTGTATGGGCAGGGTCGACCTACTAATCAAACTCGACTGCAGGCCGGAAATTTGACGCTTGCATCAAGCCCCACGACAACTTCAAACTGCAGGTACTGGCCAGCGTTACGAAGTCGATGCACAAGACGAACGGTGTCCTGGAACGCCAAGCTGGCCCGCCCGTGCTCCTCGAGGTGATCGAGACCATGCGCGGAGATGAGAGTCGTGCTTGTATAGCGGTACCACAATAGTAATCGCCCCATGTACATACAATCTCTGCACTTTGACATCCAGGGTCTGGGAGTAATAAAAACGCAGTCACCACCTCGAGAGGAAATGATGACATGGCCGCTGCAGGTGAAACCGTTGATATTTCCCCACGCAGGAACATATTGCAGACAAGTTTCAAAAGCCCCCCCCCTACTCACAGAAGTATCTACAGATTTTGCTGGCAGCCGACGACCCTTTCTTACAAGTGCTCCAGGTAATCCATGTAAAAGGTGAAACCTTTGATGGCGGGTTGTCTCACGCCCGCCTGAACGACCAACTCTCCCTGTTCATCCAGTCCGAAAGCCTGGTGGGTGTTGGACTCGTTCCACCACACGGCCCCGTTCTGGTCGATGTAACCCATCTCCACCTTCTGCTCCCCAATCTTGCACGTGAGCAACCAGTGCGGGTTGTACAAACACTCGGCGACAGAATCAGGGTGGTTTGCCGACCTTCTCGAGGAGGAGGAGGAAGAAGAAGAGGACGGGGAGGAGGAGGAGGAGGAGGAGGAGGAGGAGGAGGAGGAGGAAGAGGAGGAGGAGGAGGAGGAGGAGGAGGAGGGAGGGAGGGAGGCGGAGAAGCAGGAGGAGGAGGAGGCGGATTTTGTGGTTCAGGGACGCTTTGGCTTTGCCGACCTTCTCGTGATTAGTGGAGCTGGTCCGCCGGGGGAACCTCTCGGCGTTCGTCCACGACTTACGCTGGCTGTAATACGTGACTGGACTCGAATGCGCTCCGAGCGGCTCCCGAGCATTTCGAAAACCCTCACCTCGGAGGCCAAAGGCTCTGGGAGCTTCGCCTTCAGCGCGTCAACGGAAGGCACGGCCTCGGCTCTCGAAATGCCCCTGGTCCGGCGCTCGGCATGAGTAGGGAAGGTGTTGATCGTGAAGAACGTGGGCTTAGGTTTGAAAGCGGACGGCACACCCGAGCTTCCTGCATCACTTCCCAAACCCCCTTCAGATTTGGCGATACACGGCGCCTCATCGCACTGCTTCTTGAGGTCGGTAAGTTGATTAGAATGCTCCTGCACCGTGTTTGACAACCCGTCGAATTTAGCTGCCAGGGGCTTGACTTCTTCTTTGACTGTATCAACGATTGTTGACTTCAGTGTCTGCATAAAGACGCTGTTCCATATCACCCATTCATCCTGGAAGTTCAAGGTACGTAGATGGGTACCCAGAAGGGCTAAGAATAAACAAACGATAGGAATGGGTTTCAGGAGGAGTATGCGCAGAGTCACCCTTGAGCTAGTCTTACGGCCTTGAGCCAAAATGGCTACAGCCATTTTGGCTCAAAACTGGAAGGCTCAGAAACCCTGCGGCCCAATTGACTCAGAAGGCTCGGAAACCCTCCGGCCCATTTTGGCCATTATGGCTTAGGAGGTTCGAAAACCCTCTGGCCTTCTGAGACATTTTCTGAACTTTCCCCGAAGACACAGAAACCTTTTCAGAAGGCGCGAAGGTTTCTGAGAAGCCCCGCCGCCTTCTGAAAAGGCCTTCTCCTTTTCACGTCCCCCCCTCGCTCGCCGCCGAAATGTGCGCGGGACCTGAGGTCGGAGTTTGCAAAACTGCGCAGGACTTGGAGGGCCACTCGCAGAATTCAGATCTCCCATGTCCCTGCAGAGGCTGCCTGCGGGGCGTTTCCTCTCTCAGCTTCCGGGTCGTAGTTTGAACAACAAGCTCGGCTCACCTCTGGGGGCCGAGCTGGGCGCCGCCCCCACAGCCGCGAGGCGGCGCGGCGGCGACGACGCCGCAACCAGAATCCGCTCAGAATCGGCCCACGGCCCCTCCCGGGGCCCATGCTGGGCGGCTGTCCCGTCCCATCCTCCTCCTCCTCCTCCTCCTCCTCCTCCTCCTCCTCCTCCTCCTCCTCCTCCTCCTCCTCCTCCTCCTCCTCCTCCTCCTCCCGGGTCGACTTCCGACCGCCCCGGAATTCCTAAACGGGCGTCCAGGAGGCGGAGATCGAACAAAAAAAAAAAATCCAAGGCGAGTTTTGTTCGAGCCAGCACCGACGGCGGCGGCGACAACCGATGCCGACGGGAGGCCCCCAGAGGTCCTTGGAGGTCCCCCTTGAGGCCCCAGGATGCCTGGGATGGCCTGCGGGGGCCTCCGCAGGCTCCCTGAGGACCCCGAGGGCTTCTGGAGGTCTAGAAAAGCCCGACGATGTCCTGGACGACGACGACGACGACGACGACGACGACGACGAAGACGACGGCGGCGGCGGCGACGACGACGACGACAGCGGCGACGACGGCGACGACGACGACGACGGCGACGACGGCGGCGGCGGCGACGGCGGCGGCGGCGGCGAGCGCGGTCCAGCTGGCACACGGCAGTCGCGTTCTCCTCGCTCGTGACAGCAGCCTTGACCTTGCCCGGGATGGGCGCGCGACGGCTGCGGTCAGGGCTACCCTCCTCTCTCTCTTCTCCGCTTTTGCGCGCTTGCAGCAGACCGAAGCCTTTCCGGGCCTGAGCTGGATCGAATTACGAAATCGGATCGGATCGGGAAGCGGATCGGATCGCGCCTGAGTCAGCAAGGAATCGGATCGGGATCGGATCGTTTGGAATGGCGGATCGATCTGGTGGGGTCGGATCGAATCGCCATCGGAATCGCAGTTTGGGAAACGGATCAGATCGAATCGGACGCATGAGCAGCCCTGCCTTCACCCCCCCGAGGTGGCCAACGTCACCTGGATGGGGGGATGCCTTGAGCGCAAGGGCAGAGTACCAAGGCAGAGGCAGCGATGGTAGCGGCGGCGGCGGATGGAGGGGATGGCGAGCTTGACGATGAGGGGCGACACGAGACCTCTGGGCCGCGCGTCGACAAATCAGGTCGTCGGATGCCTGGGAGGAGGCAGGGCTGGACCCGAACCTTGATTTTCGTTCTGGTCTCGTTGTGCTGTTCGTTGTACTCTGCGTGCTGTCCCGTGCCTCCCTGCCAAAAAAAAAAAAAAAAAAAAAAAAAAAAAAAAAAAAAACGCAGCCGAAGTCAGGCAAAACAGCGTTAAGGTCCAGCCCTGGGAGAGGAGGGTCGTGCCAATTGCGGGGCGACGAGGAGGAGGACGAAAAGGAGGAGGAGGAGGAGGAGGAGGAGGAGGAGGAGGGGAAGGGCCAGCTTGGAGCGCTCGCGTCATGTCCGACGTCCTACCCCTTCCTCCCATCCCTTACCATGGCGTAGAGATCCTCTCTGTTCGCACAATCGGATGTCGTAGCAGGGCATAGCATTACATGGCATAGCATGGTGCTGAAGATCAGCGCGTGGCCTGACATAGCATGGCGTGGCGACACCCCAAAGTGGGAAGGGCAGGAGTGGGAGAGAACGACGACGGCAATGACGGCAACACCATGGGAAAAACGATGGTCGTGCATCCGATCGTCACAGCTTAGACACAGCACCCACCCTCGCCAAACCTCACCCAGGGGGACGCCAACTATACACCCAGGATTGGCCTGACTGGGTGAAATATGCATTGCTGTCGCTATCCGAGTTATCCTCAAACCCACCGTCGCCAGAGCCGCGTATGTTCGAAAAGCCAAAATGGGTACAGGAAAATATGGCACGATACCCAAAAGCAAACGTTGTTCAAAACCGATAGCGACCGCTGTTGGGCAGGCGGCGTTCTGCCTCAAACAGACAAAGCCCGCGGCAACACCTGCAGCAAGTCCTGCTCAAAATGGACAGGAACTGATATTCGTCTTCGTCCCCACCCCTGACATCTGCCGATCTGACTGTTTCAATCCGTGCCCTCAGAGCTTCTGACACTTTCCTCGGAGAATTTGCCTCGGCCAGGGTCAACCTTTGAGGGCCCCAGGGTCCCATAACGGGCCCCGGAGGCCCTGATCGAGGAAAAAAAGCCCACTGAAAAACAGATGTCGTCGGAGACCTCGGACTGTTTCCCTACCCACTTCGCTCATGCCGATGCAAAAGATTCGGCGGCGCGCACGAGGGGGTAGGGGGAGGGGGGAAGGCTTCTCAGAAGGCGCTTGCCTTGCATCTACCGAGAAGGCCCG